TAGCAGCTACATTGATCTTCATGCCTTTGATCATGACAGTCAGATAAACAAATTCTTCTTGAGTCAAGGTATTTAATCATGTCTTCTTCCCCAAGATAACTCTGGTTAGAATATGGTGAAGAATTCTATGATCTAGAGGCATTTATAGGCTTGGTTACAAAGGGATCAATTGGTTCCCATGAGGAAACTAAGGTCTTCTAGCATTAAAACATCTGTAAGAAATTCTAGTAGCTCAATAAGGTACTCCTTTGTAATGCCAAACTCTTGGTCACAGATTTTTGCCCTTAGAATCTTTCCATCATCAAATAGGTAAATTGAAATATAGAAAGATCTTACAACCTCATCACACATGGGGTAATTAAGTCAGAGACAAGTAAAGGAGTCTGGAATTTACCTTACAAGCCATTAATATGTATTTATTAAAATTGTAAAACATATACTTCTCTCATTTTGTTATCATCAAAGCTAAGGTTCAACATACAACAGTCCAAACATCTAAAATGTCAATTTACAATCTTGAATCATGGTTAAATTAATTAATCCACTAATATACTAAGTCACCTTGAAATTAGTAATTAGCTTTTGGATTAAAAACTTGGGATGTTACATTATTGCATTATCTTTTGTCTTCCTATCGATACACTCACTTTTCTCCATCTTGTAGTGGTGCGTCGCTAGAAGCAGGTTTGTGGGTCTCATCTATTTTACTTTAATGTATAAATTTGAGTGATATTGTCTACATAAATTTTAGGTGCCATTGATCTTCCATTTGATTCAGTGCATGTTCCTTAGTAGAGGTTTCCTCATGGGAAGTTCCGGTGTTTCATCTCAATAGTAGGTATATACTTCTCCCTCCTTTAACTTAATTTACTAATTTCATGTTTATTTACGAATTCCAATTTTTAGTTTATGTTAGACACAAAAAGTTTTGCCATTCTAATAGGTATTTACTTTATGCTTTTTGGTGTAATGGTATCATGTGATTGATTTAGAGCAATTGTTAATGCAATAATATCTCTTGCAATAATATCTTTGATTGGTATCTTTCACTTATGCAGAGTCATCTATACTTTCACTTATGAACAACTATGTTAAGATGAAAATTCATTTTTTTCTTAAGATTATTGCAGTTAACTAGAATATTTGAGGTGATTTAGAACAGCTTGCTAGTATGTTTTGCAAATATTATTAATTAATAAGTTTGTATAGAATATTTTTTATTAGGTAGTGGGGGAAGGTTAGAGTCATAGAGACTTGCACGCTAAGACAACAGAAACATGGGCACCTTTAAGAGTTTGGAGATTATGTTATGGTCTAATGTGAGTATTTAACTATTAATTGTGTTGAAGCAAGTTGACGAGTTTATTTGGTTTCTTGAGATTTGCTTCATTGTCCAGTTAAGCTTAATTCTATTCAATTATTTTATTTTGTTTTTTCATAGTGACATCTACTCAATTATTTTATGTTTCCAGTAAAATATAGCTTCGATATTTGAGAATTCAACAAGTTTACAAGTTTTTCTTTATTCCTATGATTTTGTGTGGTTTATAATTAAGTTTCTAGTAAATAACATGTGTATGGAGAATGGAGACTACATGTGTACACATTAGTTGAGTATTTTCTAATAAATAACTTGTATATATTATAGGTTGAAACTATTTGATGATTAGCTTTCTTGAAAAAGTTGCACAAGGTAACTTTTATATTTGTGTTTTCTTGTTGAGTGGGAATAGGAAATATGAGGCCACTCTTGTATATGTTTTTATTACTAAAAATCACAATCTTGTAAGCATAAGTCAACATATCTATAATATTTCCCTCAAGTTTTTATTATTTACATGGTGTCCTATTCATGACATTTTGTACCGTGTCAAGTTTGTATAAGAAGATACAAGACTGCATTAGAGTTCCACATGTTCATTTACAGAAATGGGCCATATGCCATCTAGATGACTATTTACTTTTAATGATTGTCCATGTCATTGCATAGGTGCCAAATCCTCTATGGAAGGCCTTCCACTGTTCATTTATGGAATCAAAAAGTTTTTGTTGACCTTAGATTTGAATTTACATCTTAGATAACATTACCATTTTAGCAAGAGGTGATTTGACTGTTGATACATGATCTGCTTTGCTAAGTAGGTTAGTATGAAGTAGAAGCCTTCAAAGGAATGTATGTAATAGTTTATCTGTTTTTTAGGATTGTATTAGCCTTTTAGAAATTTCATTGGAAGAGAAAACTTCCCCTCAACAAGAAATAACTGCTGACCTTTATCATCAATATATTACTAAAATTTATTCCACTAAAATATCTCTTCTGAATAGTAACAACTTCATTTCAAACTCCATGATGAATCTCAGCATTTTATCGCTAGGCTTGAAAGGGATTGGAGATATATATTGTTTAGAAATAAATCCATTCTTAAAAGAAAAAATTATTTAAAAGAAAGAATTTTTTTTATAATAGTGACATATGCTATATGATTTTTCTCTTTCCCAAAAGAAAAAAAAACTTAGCCCAGTTTCACGTTAATTTGATTTTGCTCTTTCTCCCTTTCTTCTTTGTTCTCTTGCTGACTTGACTCACTACTTTCCACTTGTCTTTGTCAGTAGCACCATAAAGAGAGACCTATATCCGTAGCAAATGAGAGGAGAATGCCATATTCAGCACCATCCACTGTGGTGTCTATGATGCTCAAGACATTAGGTATGTCCCACCTTCACTTCACCCCTTCTCTATCCCGCCTTTGGTGATGATTTTTGAGCTAATATTTTGTGATTTATGCTTGTTCCTTAGAAATCAAAGTCCTTTTGTTTTTTCTACTATTGCGATTATAGTTTATTCTCAATCGATTCAGTAAAATTATCACTTTGAATTTTCTGATGGTCATAGGAGATTCGTCATTTTTGCCTTTGCTTCATCTTCCTCACCATTACTCGCAAGTCCTCATTACTGTCGCTCTCTCACTACTCTCAAGTGCTTGGCACTCTCACTCTCAGCTTTGTCTTTGTCATATTTTTTTTAGTTACTCTTTATCTCTTTCACTATCAACCTTCTTCTTCCTTGCCAATCACCCTTTTTATCTTCTAAGATTTGATCTTTTAATAAACAAGGGAAAATGCATACCAAAAAGGGGAAATGAAGAATATATTTATTAGCACTGAAAGTTCACCTAAAAGGGGGTGAGTATGACTTTATAAAAATTTGGCTAATAATAAAATTAAAGAAATGAGTTTACAACGATATCAGTAAGGAAAAAAAAGCTTGTAGAGATATTTATCCTAGTTCAACTCTAACCATTTGAGCCTATGTCCAGTCCTCAAGTATCACTTAAAATTTTCCCTATTAACTCCACCAAGATTAATCTGAGGTCTTGATAGTCTCAAAGCAATCCCAGACTCATAGTAGAGTTTGAATCACTCCCCTTTACAAAAGTAATGATATAATCCTCTAAAACTTCCCAAGTTTAAGATATGCTATTTCAAGATAGAAAAACATAGATGAACAGAGTAAGTTCAAGAATGAATTATTACTGTCAAATACTCTCTCTAAGAGTTGATATATAATCAATGAAGATCTCTCGTAATAAATGTAAATTCAAAAAGTTGGTAAACAACAAATAAAAATAACTCATGTGGTTCGTTCGTCTCTTATTCACAGATTTCATAAAAGCTTTAATTTATAGTGGGGCTTCATAAATGATTTGTTAGACTCATGAATATAGCCGTTAGAGTAATTGTCTTCTTTCCTTTGAACTTTTTTTCTAAAATGAGACAACATAACAATGCTTTATAATGGATATTTCTCTCTCACGGCAAGTAAGGAAAGTAATGTCTGCATTAAATGTTCCAACAAGATAAGTGAGAGACTCTTTTGGAATAAGGATTTTCAGAATAAGATCAATAAGTATTTAATCCAATTCAAAATTGTGTTTAGAATGACTCTAGAAAGATTAAATAACTAATATAACTCTCAAAAAGTGAAAAGAAAAGAAGTAGAAAGAGTTTTGAATTGCCCCCATTATTCTCATGAAAAATAAAGCATGTAATACTATGTTTATTTCAAAAATAATGTTGCTTGTTTTGAAACAGTGAAGAACAAGACAAAGAGAAGCAATGGATGATTCTTTTGGAATATTGCTTTTATATTGAAAGAGTGTTACGCACACATTTATCCAAAATTCTTTATTAGAAAATAAGTGAAGCTATTTTCAAGTATGCTATTCCTAAATAAATAGCTAGGAAGTTACACATCAATAATAGCTTGAAGGAAGGAACCAATATTCCTTAATAAAGGTAGTTATTTTGAAATAGGCTATTTTTGAATAGGCTAACGAGAGGATATTTGGAAATAAGAAATATACACATGAATAAGCTATTATGGAATAAGTACGAATTTACAAAAGATGACAAAAGGCTCTTAGAATTTGCATTTTTGATTCTAAATTCATTTGAGATACCTTTCAAGCAATACAAGAGATATTTAAGGAGTTAAAATCAAGTCAAATACTTAATTGTAAGAGGGAAACAATTTAAGAAAGAATTAGAGAGGTGTTTAAGTATTTTTTGGCTATTTGGAAATAAGAGTGTCTATATGGGAATAAGGTTGAGAGTTGGAATTTTAAAGCAATGAACATGAATTCCCTTACAAGACATTAATATATATTTATTAAACCTGAAAAATAAAAACTTTGCTTATTTTATTATCATTAAAATCAATATTCAACAATGTAAGGACCCAAGAAAAAAATTAATTTAATTATGATAAGGTGTTTAAAATGTATTTTTATTATTTTAGAGTAAATATGTCAAAATGGAATTGTGGTCTAGTGAATTTTATACAAACTACATGACTCACAGGTGCTAAATTGGAATCTTGATGAGGCCAAAAGTGGAAATTTATTTTTAACTTTAGTTTAAAGTAAAATTATTAAAATACCCTTATGTTAAAGAGAGAGAGAGAGAGAAAACAGAGCAAAGCATGTTTCTCTTCATCATTCTTCAGTCAATTTTGTTCAAGAAGCATCGAGAGAGAGAGATGGAGAGAGAGAGAGCTAAATCAGAGAGCTCCTCGGCCATCTTCATCTTCTTCATCCTTCGTCGTCTTCAACATCGCTGGTGCGTGTGTGCACCGATGAGCTTGAGCTTTGTCGTTCTTTATTTCCTGTGGCTGAAACCTTCTCTCTTTGTTGTTGTGCTGCCGTGTGATGCCATCGAACCTTCCCCTCCCTTCAGTTTCTCCCTTGTCCATCTGCTATTAATGGCCATAGCAGAACCTTTCCTTCGACAGTGCCACGATGTGCCTGAATCTGGTTTCTCCTCCCTTGTACAACTCGTGAGCCCTACCCCCTTTCTCTATTTCTGCTATTGTGATTTAAGTCTACTGTGGATAATGAAGTATAAAAGAGGATGGGTTGCTTGTCGGAGGTCCGTTAGTGAATTTCTTTTTCCTTATGCAGTATCGTAGACCCCTTCCCTTTCTTCTCCTCTGCTCATGTTGCTGCTGGTATGTTTTTTTTTTCACTGTTGATGTTGTGCGTGTGAGTGTTGGAATGGGTGAAGTTGTGAAATTTCCTTCCCTGTGTTACTGTTTGTGGTTGAGCTTGAAGGAGTGCAGCTTTTAGTTGAGAGAATTATGATTATGGCTTGAGATTGTGAATTTTTCCTTCATTTTTTTTTACTAATTGCGTGGAATGTAAAGTTGGAAATTTTATTTTTTGAGCATAAAAATTTATATATGCTAAAAGATTTAAATTGGAGAGTTGGATTATTTCAATTATTGTTATTAAAAGATTTGGAAAATGACAGTTGAAGAAAAGGAAGTATGGTATTGGTTAAAGGATTCATGCCCATAAAGTGTTCGATAAAATGCTAGTTAGGAGAAGTTTGTTTAATCTTGCATTTTTGGAAATTTCATTGGTTCTTCGGAGAAGTATGTTAGTGTGGGTTTTATTGATCTATGAACTAACTTGAAGGTTGTAAAGGAAATTTGATTGTAAAATTAGCTTGTAACTATGAATTCTTGAGATTGGATGATTGTTGATAAATTATGTGACAAAAGGTTTGATTATTACAAAGCCTCTTGAGTGAATTGGGAAATTAGTTATGTCCATAATGAAACTTTCACGTAAATCTTGATTCCACAGTTTTAAATTTATAATCATCATATATATATATGTGTGTGTGTGTATGTATGTGTTGATGTTAGAAGAGAGTTTTTGAACATAGTTAGAAGTTTATTGAGGCCCTAACATATTCCATATATAGGGAGATGGGAAGAAGAGAAAATCAATTAACGTGGTAAGAAGAGAACAATGTACTTTGAAAGCACTTCAGGTAAGTGAATAGCACCTCCATTATTTTATCAAATAAGAGTATTTCATTTTTGAAAATATTACATTTTTATATAAATCATTTTTAACAACTATGATGATTATTAAGTACTTTAGTAATTAAATTATTTTGGTTTTGGAAATTATAGAATGATGATGAATGTTAATTAAATTATAGTGTGTGTATGTATTTTCCTTAAGAAATATACTTTCAAGATTGAAGAAGGCATCTTTGTTTATTTTCCTCTAGAAATTCTTAGTTACTTAACTATTGCAGGCTTGTACATTAGCTATGAAGTATTATTCTGCCAAACTTTGAGATTTGAAACAATTCATGCGAGTTTGGCATTGTGAATGAAAATTTTATTATAGTAATGATTATTTTTCTCGCATGTTTGAAATGTGATTTCTAAGAGGATTTTATACAGAACACTGGTTGCTAACGACAATTCTGTTAGCCCTTGGCGCACCTTAGTTAATGACTAGCTAATTTGAATTTCATGAGTTATGTTCTCACATTTGATATTGGTAAGTCTTGTACTTGCATTTGTTTTTGTGGCTTTGAGCCACGTTTGGTTAGTATTACCCTTGTGGACTATGTGTCCATATTTGTTTTCGTGGCATAAGTTGCGTTTGGTTATTTTACCCTCGTGGATTGTGTGTCTATTTTTATTTCTTGTTCTGTTAAGTCCTCAAAATTTTAAGTTTTCAATTGACTTGTATAAATGAAATTTCAATAGTTTCAGTTAGTGTACTAATTTGATTTTACATATTGATAGTTTGTTTTCTTCCTGTATGATAGAATAAAGTAATTTCAATTCACTCTCATTTTATGGTTATGAATAAGATTTACAAATTTATTAAATTTATTATATTGAATAATTATCCTTTCAATTATTTTACCTAGTATTTGTTTATTATTATTATTATTATTATTTACTCTTTTAAATTCTATCTTTAGGGATACTATTCATTGGTAAATTATTTTGATCTCATATTCATTAGTTGACGCTGAATCTCTTGTCTATCATTGAAAGGCTAGCTTCTATACTGGGTAGATATTTATTTTAAGAACGTCTTTTCTTTTGATGTGTATATATTTAATTATGTGTTTTATTTTGAAACTATAATTAAGGTGCTCCAAATTAACTATAGATGTAATTTTGATTTGTAAATTTATATTGAATGTCTGTTGTCGAGGAGTAAAGCTCCGTACCATTAATTTGTTTGTAAATAGTGGTTGTAGAGATTCATAGGGGTCCTATTTATAGAGAAAGTTCTACGAAAATCCCTGCATCCAGTTTAATAATCTTTTATTTGTATGAAAAATGTTACTATGATTTCCAATCCAATTTCAAATGAATTAAGATATTAAATTAGAATTTTCTTGATCAAGGCTTAAGAGATGTGTGTTTGTGCATATATCTTATGTCGGTCACATCTACTTTTAGGGATGTGACAAACAAGCACTAGAATAACTAATGGAATGCTTTATCAATTAAGACCGTGGTTTGTATACAGAATGTCTTCATTGGTTGCTCGATCTTCAAATATTGTATATATTCTAAGGGGTGGTTTTTAATAAGTTGATATATTAGGCAAGGCATACTTTACAAGTGGTTTTAGAAGAGGGCACCATTTGTCAAATCAAAAAGATATTCGATCCCCTTTACCTACCTTCCAGCCCACTTAGGTTGTGAATTGGTCCCAAACTCTACATATACTAGACCAAGTGTAGGAGCAAGAGTTGGTTTTGCAAACCATAGGAATGGTAGGGTTTTGACATTTATACTTATCACATAGAACTCAAGCCTGGAGACAATAAGGCTTCATAATGATACCCCAGCAAAGCTTCATAATATATGTCATGTTTTGACTTTTCAATTTTTTGAAGTCAAGGCCACCATGCTTAGTTGTGGCTTCTTGGAGCCATTAGTAGAATCCTAATGGAAGTTACGAGAGTGAGTTTCCATATCAGATAAGATATTATCAGGTAAGAGCATAGTCTGCATAGTATAGCTAAGAATAGAGGATAGAATTGATTTTATGAGAACAGCTTTCCCAGCAATATTGAGATAGCAACTTTTCCAATTAGATAGCTGAGAATTGATTCTTTCAAGAAGGGGAGTGAAAGTTCGTTTAGAAATTCTTTCATGTGTAATAGGAATCCCTAAATATTTCTCAAGGTTTCTGGTCATTAGGATTCCTAATTCTTCATTGATCTGGATGACTTTATTGATATTAACATGCTTAGAGCAAAAAAGCTTGGATTTGGAATTGTTGACTTTCTATCCTGAAGCTTTACTAAAGTTATCAAGGCATTTTTAGATGATCCTTGCTTGATTAAGGGATGCCTCTATAAAAAGAAATAAGTCATCAGCAAAAAATAGGTGAGAGATAGGTTGACCATTAGTAGTTAAGCTAATTGGCTTCCAATCCCTTTTGTCAATATTACTAAGTATGCTATGACTCATTCTTTTGATATAAAGAAAAAAGAGATAACGTGAAAGAGGATCTCCCTGTCTAATTTCTCATGTCGGAGTGAATTCATTATATGGTTCACCATTCCAAAGAACTCTTATACGAGTGGTAGTGATGGTTGTTATAATGAGTTTTCTAAATTTCTCATTTAGCCTGATAGTATGAAGGTATCATCAATAAAATCTCAAGAGAGTCTGTCAAAAGCTTTTTCGAGATCAATTTTGAGAGCTAAGAATCCCTTTCTCCTAACTTTTTTCCTTATAGAGTGAATGATTTCTTGTGCGATGATGATATTGTTACTGCTCTGTCTTTCTTGAAGAAAGCTACATTGAGTGTCCCTAATTAAATGACTCATACATTGTCTCAACCTATTGGAGAAAAGTTTAGTAATTATCTTGTAGCTGACATTGCATAAAGATATCAGACGAAAATCCTTCATAGAATTTGGCTTATCATTCTTAGGGATGAGGGTTATGAATGTGTCATTAATCTCACTAAAGCTAGTTGGATCATTAAAGATCTTCATAACCAAATGTATAATGCTATCTTTGAGATCGTTCTAGTAGCATTGAATGAAGCTAGCATGAATACCATCAAGATCGGGAACTTTAAAAGCTCCAATATCAAAAGGAGTATTTTTTTATTTCTTCCTCAATAATATCTCTATGGATAAGATGCAGTTGATGGGAGTTTAGAGGTGAAAAGTTCCTGGCAGTCATTAATTTAGGTTTGTCCTAAGCATCCTCCTTAAACAGGTTCTCAAAATAAGAAGCAGCTTGATTTGGAGGATGGAGTGATCTTGGATCCAGTTCCCATCTTCATCCTGAAGAGATAATACCTGATTCCTTTTCCTCCTAGTGATAGCAATAGTATGGAAGAGTTTAGAATTTCTATCTCCCCATTTTAGCCATTTGCATCTTGACTTTTGGTACTCGAGGAGTTCTTCTCGGAGAAGAGTTTTATTATAATCTTCCCAGAGAGATTTTTCAAGTTTTCTAAGAAAGCAACTGTCTTTAAAATTTTGATTGTGATCAGTTCCTTCCAGTTGTAACCTCTCTGAGGTTAAACCACAATTTACTCCAAAACATTGTTATCTGAAGTGTTAAAGATGATTTCACAAAAATCATTTCACAAGAATCCCAATCTCAACAGTTCAAGTCTCAAACATAATTTAGGGATTCCAAATTAGAATTTTAAAAACAAAGTGAAAGCTTGAAAATCAATTGGGACCCAAATAATGAGTTTTAGAACTCAAAAATCATTTCTGTGTAGAAAATCACATGTGCGTCGCGGCTTACGGTTCGTGTATCGTGGCGTGTCTTCTCTGTGCCATATGCCGTGGTGTATTGCATGAAATTTGACAGATCAGTGCTGTCATTTGACAACCCGAGAGGCAAACTTCCGACGCATTCCAAATCTCTGTCTGACATTCGATTGAGGTGGTTTCGGTGTCTATACGGAGCTTTCTCCTAGCTCTAGCTAATGGCATAGTTTTCATATTTAAATTCCTTTTCACAAATAAGTTGGACACCAAAACTCATTTTGACCACTCTTTCACAAAATCTCCCAAACAGGGTGTCCCAACTCAAACACACATGCTAATAGCCTACACTAATCCTCCAACTACACTTGATGGACTTATGCAGACTTGTGCAACACACCATACACAATCAAAGACACTTATATCACAAAGTCACCACTCAACCTTAACTTACACAAAACATAGAAGGGGAGGAAAAGTTGCATTAAAACAACCCTTTCATTTATATTTCTCAAAAATACATATGTTCCTACTTGCACAAGTATTTTGGCCCTATCCACGTGTTCACAACAATAACTCACTAACCCAGGGCACAAAATATACTAGTTAAATATAGAATCATGTAAGTAGTGCACCAAACATGACAATTAATTCTAGTTGGCAATTATATTAATAAATACACATGTAAATAGCAAAAGCGAGGGATATAGAGGATTTACTCCACCAATCCTAAGCCTCAGTATGTTTTCCTTGACTTGGATCCGATGAGCTAGTCCCTGAAAATATTGAGAATTGAGGGGTGAGTACAACCACTCAGTAACCAAGTTTCACTTAACCCTTACAATTACATATTAATTGTAAATAGATGCAATTAGGCAATGAAAAACATATTTGACATAACGTTAGGCCACGATTCATAAAACTAACAACCATGTGACCGGGCTTACCACAAAACACCATATCATGTTATTTCACAAAAACATAACATAGGGTCACAAAAGTAATAACCATGTGCCCTTAACACGTGCCAGACCACAAAACTAACAACCATACAGCTGAACTTATGTGCATGATCATGTGCCAAACTTATACCCTCCTGTTACCTCCGACACGAAACCGGTGACTATCATGTGGCTATGTCCTTCACGGACTAACTTAGCCTTCCACTTGTAAGGAGCTACTGGGTTATGGTTAACTCACTCACTTATGTGATTTGGTTTTCCCCAATACTAACAACCATGGAGTGTCGTACCTCTAATTTA